GCATGGCACGACCTAGGCCCACACATTCAATGTTTGTTTCGTTTTTGTCTCTAAGATATTTAAAAATCGGAAAAAAATAATAAGAATGTTAAAAATATAGATTGTTGCATTTAATCTGGTTTTCTCTTACTGTCCAACACTGTCCCCTCGTGGCTGACATTTGTTACTGCCCTAAACTTAAACCGTTTATGGTTCCAAATGTATTTTTCATTTGTGTGACACATCTCAAACATTAAATATTAGTTAGATAAAAAAAAAAAACTTGGTAATTTGATGTAGTTTGGACATCTCAGCCCATCTGAGTTGAGGTGTACAGAATATGTCAGGTGAGCTCACACCTATATTTATTTATCTTTACTTAGCCAGGCAAATCCCACAGAGATCACAGATCTCTTTTCCAACAGCGGCCTGCTGAACGTAACCTAACATACACATTTGGTCTATGAGAGAAGTGTTCATCTAACGAAGTCTAACAATCCAGTCAAAAGATATTTATTTGTTTGTAAACTGATATACTAAGCAAGAATGACGTGTTAGATCAGTAATCTTGTTAACCTGGAAATTTTATCTTATTTCAAGAAATCTTACCAAGTGCAAGTCTGAATACACAGGCCAATAATGCCACTTTGAGTCTGAAGCTTCCCAAATTTCTCAAAATAATCTGTAATATAACTTTAATAGGCACATCGTAAGATTTTTTAAAATAAGGAAAATTTTGAAGCTCACAAGATTAATTTGTGCAGTGTACCAGAATACTCACCAAAGTACAGAGGAGAACATGCAAACTTCACACAGGAAGGTCCCTGGTCCGAACCAGAGATCAAACCGGGGTGGACTGGCCATTGGGATTACCGGGACATTTCCCGGTGGGCCGGTGTATCACTGGGCCGGCCGACGCAGGCAGCGAGGAAAAGAAAAAATAAAGTTATGTAGTTGGGCTCAAAACCAGTATTATTGTAGTCAGTATATGATAGTCATGACGGTGGCTGTATTTTTTTCTCTAGTTTGCTAATGTTTAAAACAGTGCATTTAGCTGTTAAACTATGGAACTCATTACCACCCCACGTTAGAAACATAAAGTCATTCTCAAATTTTAAAACCGAACTCAAAACACACCTTTTTAGATCTGCCTTTTCCACATGACACAATTGGTTTTGCCTGATTTTTTACATAGATTTTTTACATAGATTTTATATAGATACATTGTTTTTATTTTTATCTATTTTTATTGTTACATTTTATTTGTTTCTGTTACTTTTTACTCTTTGTATGGTGTCCTTGAGTGTCAGAAAGGCGCCTTTGAAATAAAATGTATTATTATTATTATTATTATTAAATAAATAAAGCCACCATCATGTGTGGACTAGGTCAAAACTGTGCTCAGTAGCTGATAGTTTCATAAAACTGTGCTGCTTACAATGTTTTAACATCAGTTTTAGAAATTTACATCATACATTGGCATTCTACAAGATAAAAAAAGTTTGTGTGTTTCACAAATAACTTTGCCCACTTAGATTTTGATTTTATTAATTAATTAATTAATTAATTAATTAATTTTTATTTTATTTTGTGAATTAAGGTTCAATTTCAGCCTGGCCCTTGCCTTCCTATGCAGCTCTGCTCAATTCTAGTTTCCCTTCTCTGCTCCGTCTGGGATTTCTCCCATAGACAAGGATTTCTTCGGGAGAATTTTCGTACGGGCCAATCAGAGAACAGAACATCAATTTTCTGCACAGTGTCTGCTTGTAGTTTATTTTAGCTGGACCAATCAGCAAACAGAAGGTGGAGTTTTGAATGATGTCGATTTTCTGTGCAGTGTAGTTAGTTTAGCACAGTGTTTCCCAAAGTTGGGGTCGGGACCCAAAGTGGGGTCCCGAAACATCAAGGTGGGGTCCTGAAAAGATTTTCTGAATTAATTACATTTTTGCCTTATTTGTTACAAAGGAGTGAGGTTAGTATATTTAAAATGGATAAATGTAGTATAAAAATGTTGTTACTATGCCCATGTTTAGTTGACCTGACAAAGATGTTTATCATCCAAACATCGTTGGGCACAGGTCTGTACTACTGTTATTTTGTGGGTCAAAAGCTGAAAAGTTTGGGAACCAGTGCACTTTGGTTCCCAAAGTTGGACTTGGAACCCTATTATGGGTCATGAAGCACCTTGGATAATATCCAGAAATCGGGGTAATAAAAGAATAGATGATGTAATATTTTCCCTATAATTATTACAAAAACACAAAATAAGTATAAATAAGTATTTATATTCGTGTACAAGCTGTTTAGATTGTCAAAAAGCCTGTGTTTTTAGGGTTGTTAACAAAGTTTGTGTTCTCAAACCAGTAATATTTGGGGTCACAAGTTTTAGCCATGGATATTTTGTGGGTCAGAAGATAAAAAGTTTGGGAACCACTGGTTTAGCATACGGCAGTGGAGGAAGTGAATGAAGCCAGTCCGTGTTGATAAGGCTTCCAAATTAAAATGAATTTGTCTGACAAAGCATCAGCTCTCATTTACAGCTCGCTCGGCTCGGTACTTCTCTCCTCTCAGTAGGGTCGTTTACAGCACACGCGATTTTCGGTTAGCTTCTTAGCTTAGCCTCCTTCACAGTGGAGCTGGCACACATACCAATCGATCCAATCATTTTGAACTTCAGCGGAGGCCACGCCTCCGGCAAGAATCGCTTCCTGAGAGCCCAGACCCTCCTACGAAGCAGAGAGAAGGAAGGTCAGGTTTTTACCAGGCTTGTTCAACTTACAATACCAGTACATTCAAATGAAAAAAAAAAAGTTTAAATTCACACAGTTCATGCTGTGCTGGAAAAAGAAAATGATACCACATGAGATTATATTAATGATATATTTTTAGGGAAATATAAAGGTCAAGTCAAAATCAGTCAAAAACAATCATAAACACTGGAACACAGGGTTAACAAACTAAATGTGGCTCTGCTTTAATAATTTTGCTAATTTCTCAACAATAAATCCTTAGATTTAGAACAGTGCCCTGAGGGGATATTTCAGGGACGCAGATAGGATTTTTGAACATGGGGGGGGGGGGGGGGACGACAAAGCATTTAACAAATGATTTCCATCCGTTATTCTTGTGTAATATGGGTTTATACACAGGGCTCAAGTAGCTACTCTCATATTAGCCTATGGGTGAATGAAAATGCCATTGTAAATTATCTGAAATTAAGGATAAACAACAATGGATAATGTTAAACATCTTTCTAATCAACACAAGTAATACATTTTGATAGTTATTTGTTTGAAATACCAGTTATCGACCAAAACCTGCCTCTTCATACTTCAACAACAACAAAGTAAATGTTTCTGCTGTGGTGCAATAATTTGTACTCAAATCACACTTATATGATGTTCACCTGCATTACTGTAGCAGCTCTTTAAAGTCACCAGGAATACAGTTTGACAATCAACTATTTTTATAGAACAGAGAGGCACACAGGTGGTGCACTGCAGACATTAAACCAAGAGTGTGTGTGTGAGGGGGCCATTAGTGGGGGTCTGGGGGTCCTCCCCCCAGAAAACTTTGAAATTAGTTGATGCAGTTTCCTGCATTCTGGTGTAATTTACCAGGTTCCTAAACATACTTTTACATACATAAAAACAGTTGATTAAATAACTAAATTAGACACAGATTCTAGTTGAATCTTCCTGTTTTTAAACTCACTGCTGTGGCTCAGATAATGAAACTAAGGTGACAATTTATCCCAAACAATGACTATAGAGGAGAATTTTACTTTTATATTGTTTGTTTTTGATGCAGTTTTATTTGTAACATGTCATTGTGACAATGAACAGATTGATATTGATAACAACTGTGAATTTAGGGGGCATTTATTTTTCTGATTCAGTGACAGCTACTGCACTAGTTTTGGTCAAAAAAACTGTCTCATGGGGAAATTTTGAGTTATTTTCCGGTTCTTTGTAAAGAATATAGTTTCACCAAAAGTTGGACATTATCAGAGGAGTCTGACATTGCCTCTTCCACCAGTTTTTTTGGCCTGCACTCAGGATCCAACTCGTTGTTTATGCCGCAGAAGGCAGCCCGACGTGACACGCACAGCCTGTGTGTGTGTGTGTGTGTGTGTGTGTGTGTGTGTGCCTACAGGCGTTTTGCTACCTGGTGGGGACCATTTTCCCCGTAAGC